ATGTAATTAAACTTTACCTGAAAGGAAGAAATTTGGTGAAAGATACCACTCGGCGTCACACATTTCTTCAATATTCCTTTTGACTCTGAAACTGTTTAAAAAAATTGCAATTATTCCTGGAATTGCATTTTCTTTGATTAGCAAGGTTTGCAGAAAACACTTTCACTCTTAGAAGAATATACCAGCCAATTGCGTTTTTTTTTACTTTTCCATTTAATAGTTTTTTTAAAAAAAAAAATTCTTTTAAGACGCGTAAAAAAGTTCCATCACGGGTTTCAGACCTCAAATAATCAGTGGCGTTGAAGTCTATTTTTTGCTGAATTGTTGTGATGAACTCGATCAGGCAATTATTTTGACCTATTCAGTCGATAGAACATACTTCGACGTTCTAATCTAATTTTTCACTGCACACTAATAAAGTCCAAAGTTGCTACATCTTTATTAAGATCTTCATCTCCAATCAACGACAAAAATACAAATTTTTAATTGTGAACTCTCCTAAAATTGAAAACTTTTAAATATGTTGTTACTATCAAAAACATTTTTTAAATTGAAATATAAAACAAGCTGTTTACTTTTCAATGGATATTTCATCTGATTATTGTTTATCGGTTTAGAAATAAAAATAATAAAATAGGTATAGTAAACATATCGGTCTTTCTAAATATCTTCAAAAGTACACAAAAATTGATTTTTTTTTTTAGTTTTGACCTTCATTTTCATCTAAAGTGGCAAGTATTCGATAACTTTTTTAGTTATCATAAATCATTATTTTGCATAGTACCTAAAAAAACAAACATCCTTATTATAAATAAAGGGTTTAAGCTCAAAATCTAACTCAAAAACAGAGTTATAGTTGATTAGGGCAATTTTTGTGACCTTATAATGGCTAAAGCCTTTGGTTTACTGTAAAAGTTAATTTTCAAAATTAACCTTTTATCTACCATATTTACAAAAAAAAACCTATGGGGTATTGTAAGAATAAAATAACATATAGACTTATCACTAATTTTTTTTTGATTAAGAGCCGCCATCTTTATTTTTTTGATTAAGAACCGCCATTATCAGGCAGAGAATCAGAGCAGAAAATCAGGCAAAGCTCATTAGAGAGGTTTTTCAAAATTGTTATTTTTTTAATATGCTGTTGCTATTCATACTAGAAGATCAATGCTAAAACATTTATTGCAAATAAATGTTTTAGCATTGATCTTCTAGTCTTTTCTTATAGTTTATATTATTTATATGATATTATTTTTTTCTATTTGCTACTTTTTCTTATCTAACGTCATTATTTTTAGTTTTTTTTAATTTAATAATACGATTGAAAAAAAAAAAAAAGGTGAAATGCGATTGAAAAGAAAAGATGAAATACAAATAAAAATTGCAAGAGATCTTGTTGATTTATTTAAAATGACCAAATTATAAAACAAGACTAACCAAACTCAAAATCAAATAGTATTGTATTCAGTACATTTGAAGTACAAGATTATCTAACTAACCCTTAAGAAGGACTCAATGTGACCAAAAACGAAATATGATATCAGAGTAAGTAACGATGTCTAAAGAAAATGGGATTAATAATCTAAATAAAGTTAAAGACATTTATGTTAATTTATTACATTTTAATTATTTGTAGAAATTTCAATATTTGTGTGTGTGTGTGTTTTTTTTTTTAGGTGCCCCTAGAAGGACTTATCACCGAGCACCACAGAAGAACATTTAGAAGGAAGTTCACGCCTTCTTCCCAAACGATGTCGCAAAAATTGCCCAGAGGTGGGGTTTGAACCGCGAACCTTACGAATTTTAAGTGTTTTTATTTTGTTTTTTTGTTTAGAGATTATAATTTCTTTTGCAGTGGAAATTGAATTACAAAAGCTAGCGATAGATTCGCTTTATATTAAGGTTATTGATTTATGTTAATTTATTAAGTTTTAATTATTTTTAGAAATTTCAATGTTATTGTTTTTATGTTTATGTTTTTATATTTTTATGCATAAAGGTTTATTTTTTTAATTTCATAACTATTGTAAGTAAAATACTTTTGCAAGAAAAGTTAAAATTCAAAACTTTAAAGATTTAGGGGAAAGCGGGACAACATGGGGAATGAGGCAAGATGGGTTTTTATATAACAAGTCAACAAAAAATTATAAAATTGGGTGAAAACGAAACTGTCTTATCATCTTGTATTTTAAAACACCAATTGGTTTTTTTAAATTTTGTTAACACAATTTTGTACGCATAAGTTTACTTTTTGCGCTTAAAAAAAATTCCTCAGTTTCGGTTTCTTATAATGGATAGTGTCCTTCAAGTTTAATTTATTTAGAGGTAATTTTTTGCGACTTGTGTTTATTTTGTGTTACTTTAGTTAGAGTTATTGGTAGTTTTTAAAATTTTATAAAATTGGAGGCGAAAATTGCATAATAAGTCATCTTGCCCCGGTCACGTGACCAGATAACAAATTTTTGAACTTTTTATTTTAATATTTATTTTAATTTGTTATATTTGCAAACTGAAAATTCATGCAGGCAATGAACCATTTTAATAACATAAACATAATGAGAAATTATTATTGCTTCACGACTAATAATTTTGCAAAACATCAGGGCTTTCAAAACGTTTGCCATATTGGCCCGCTTTCCCCTAATTGTTTAACTCCATACAATAATATTAGTTTTGCTATTTTCATAGGTCGACATGGCTAGCATTTTTTATAATATAACCTAAGTAAATATTCAACTAATTTCAATCAATAAAAAGCAATTTATACTAATTGGAATCAGTTTTTCACAAATCAGAATTGGTGTTTCACAAAGATCTCAAAAAATTTTAAACATTGATTTTTAATTTTCATTGTTTTTAAAGTAATGCAGAAAAGTTGAAAAAGGTCAAGTTTTTTGGCATTGAATGTAACTTTGTTTAAAACTCCTTTTATTTTTCAGCACTATAAATTTTATTTTGGGGTTTTTTAGTGCTCAGGTTGGGGGTGGTAATTAAATAATAGTATTATTGATGGCTGTAATAATAAATTAGACTTCTACATGACACAATATCAGACAAATAAAACTGCAAACACAACTTCAGAAAAAGGTTTACGTGAACAGAAGAAATAAGAAAAGTATATCTACCAAAAAATAATTGATTATGATTTAAAAAAAAAATGAAGTAATTTTCGTTACATAATTTGCAAATAAACGTTATTACATGTTTGCAAAAAAAAAAAAAAAAAAAAATGAATTTAATTTTAAAATTCATTTTTTTTGAAATTTTTTAAATATGTAAAGATTTTTTGATAAAAATTTTTATTTGTAAAGATTTAAATCTTTACATATTTTTTTTGGCAGCCATTTTGAAAAAATTTAATTGCGAAACTAACTTCAAATCTTGCTTTTATTAATACAGATGTTCATTTATTATCAGATATCAGATAGTCGAGCCAGAAATTTGAACTGTTATTTCAATATTATTCAAAATGTCATAAGTACATGAACAACTCGCATTTTTTCAAGAGAATAATATTCAGGAACAATGTAGTTATTTAATTTTTTTTTAAGTAAACTAGTAGTTGAGTTAAGCACATTGTCGAGTACCATAATAGTTACTTTGTGAAACATCAGTTATTGCTTATTGCTTTTTTTTAGGTAGAAATTTAATTAGTTTATTTAAAAAACTCTATAAGACTATTTTCATGTGTAAATTATTTAATTTTAGAATCGACTATTTACAATCTTATGGAACTTTATTAATTGAAATGCATCTGTAACTCCGAAGATGTATTTCGATAAAACTCATTTTTCAATTAATTCAAAAATGGGGATAGTGTATTGGAGTTTATGAGAAACAAGACAAAGTTTGCGCATCGAATTTAACAAAAATTTGCAAGTTGAATCTTTAGAAAAATAAAAGGTAAACAAGTTAAGTATATATGGCAAATAACGTTGTAGTTTTTGGCAGTATACTCACTAAAAATGGCGATATGCCCAGTAAATTATGGAAATATGCCCAGAAAGTATGGCGGTATACCTAGTAAAAATAACTTTTTTTAGACCTGTAAAATATATTTTGCTCAGAAATGAAATGTAGAAACTTACCTTCAACCTAAGATATAATATATCTTCAATTTATTATTCATAACTTACTTAACTTATTATAAATAATAAATAGAAATTTACCTTCAATTTACAATTATGTTGCTTTTGTTGTTGTTGTTTTGGTTGTTAAGATGCTTTCTGAGGCTCTTACACTTTTATAACAGAGCACTGCAGAAAAGCATTTAACTAAGAAGTTCATGCTTCCTTCCTTACCTAATTTGAAATTATGGCCAGACCTGGCATTGTACCTCGGATCTCTTGGTTTTGAGCCAGAACCAAGAGATCTGAGGTTTTAAACTATATAAATATATTTTCAGTGAAAAAAATGAGATATTTAAAATTTTATTTGAAACAATTGAAGTTACATTCTTGAAAAAGATCTTTAAGAGTAATTAAAACTATATTGTTACATAAATATGATCAGCGAAATAGATAAAAAAAAATTCTAAAATTAGTTTGAAAAAACTGCTATCAAATTAAGTTATCATTCCATTAAGTATTTCTACCGCTTTCCAAGTAGTATATATTAAAAATGTTATAAAGCGCTTAACCAATGATTTTTATTTATTTACTGATTCATGCCAACTAAACAAAAGAACTAACTTAAAAAAAATAAGATAAAATAATAATAGTAAATATATCGGTTTTATCTAATAAAAATGTTCAAAATGAAAATTTAAATCGTTTATATAGCAATAAAAAGTATCAAAGCTTTTAAAATAGAAAAATAAAGGTAAACAAAAATAAACATGAAAAAAAACAAAAGAAAAACTAAAAAAAAAAACTAATTAAACAAAAGTAATTTAAAAAATATATTATTTTTTTGTATATTAAAAATTTATAAACAATAAGTATTAGAAAAATAATAATTAAAAAATTAATTTTTTAACAAAAAGTTTAAACTAAAAACTCATTATTTACATAATTTAGCGGATTTTTTTAAAGCCGATCCTGAAAAAAGCAGATGTCCCAACTTCAACAACAAGTCATACCTTTTAACTAACTTTTTAGGGTTATAAATATCTGAGTTGGACCTTATGTTCAGATTGGATCTTATTGAGATCTTATTTTCAAGCCTTATTTCGAACTTCGGAAAATATTCTTTATGATGCTTTTTCAAAACTTTTTTAATAACCACATTTCTGATGAAGAAAGTGACAATTTTACTTTTAACCACATTTCTGTCGAAGAGAACGACAGCCTCTTTTTTTCAATAACGCCATAACTTTGTAAAATTCGTCTGAAGTTTCATTTTTGATTCCTAAATTTTTTTTATCCATTTATTTAACCATAAAATCAAAAATTACAAATTTAATTATAATTTACAAAGTTAGGTTCGGTGTCATTCATATAGTTAAAAACTATTCAATGGAGTGACACTTTAACAAATAAACAAATAAAATAAAAAAATATTAAGACAAGGAAATAATAAAGAAAATAATCTATATGAATACAAGTAATAAAAAAAAAGGAGTAATAGGAACATTAATCAGAACAAAAATATTAAAGGAGGAAGGCTAAGAAAAATGAAAAAAAAAAAAAAGAAAAAAAAAAAGAGAGAGAATGAACAGATCAGATTAGTGAGAAAAAAATGTAAGAGAAAACAATTTTAATCACATAAGTTTAGAATGATAGTGTGAGAGAAAAAAATTTTCGTAGAAAAATATGAAAAAGCAAAATAAAGGCAAACTTAAAATAAAAAATTATAAACATACACTATTACATACAATATTAAAGCCTATATTACGCATTACATAGATTAGTTAAACAAAAGTAAATATAAGATATAGAAAAAGCAGCAACAACTAAGTTGACAGAGAAAAATGCAAAAAATTTAATACATTCGACAATGTACAAAATTAATTAAAATTGTTCTTTTTCTTTTCTTTTCATAAAATATTAGTAGTAGAAAAAATTCTAGTTAATTTTTTATGATTTTTCATTTTCGAAGACTTTTTTTTTCTAACTTTGTTTTTATTTTATTTTGATTTTTTTCTAGTTTTTTATCTTTATTTATTTAAACTTTGATTTTTAAATTAAATTTTTATTTTTATTTATTTATTTTTTCTTCTTCATAAAACTTTTTTTTCCACTTCTTTGGTATGTCTTCGCAAATGGCGAAGGCATTTTTTAACGGTAAAAGATAAAGAATATAAAATAATAAAAAACTCAACTTAAAATTAAAAAGTAAATAATATTTATCTTTAAAAATAAATATTTAATTAATCGTTTGATAAATTGATTTAAAGTACACACACACAGAAAAAAGAAAAAGAAAAAAAAAAAAGAAAAAAAAAGAAATTCGAATAAAAAACAAACAAACAAACAAACAAAAAACACTTAATTAAGAATAGAGTAAAAGAAAAAATAAAAATAAACAAATAAAAAAGAAAGACAAGAATAAAAAAAAGAAATAAACCATTGTTTGAATAAAGAAAGAAATAATAAAGCGCAAATTCGAAAATTTGAATCAAACAAAGAAAAAGAAAAGTTATTTTGAAAAAGACAAAGAAAAAGATGTTTTTTTAATTTTCAAATTGTTGTATTTATTATTAATTTATCTGTTATTATATTGCTTATTATTAGATAAACTATATTATATTTACTATATTATTAATATTCTATATTTAATTTACTTTAAACTTTATTATTATACTATATTATTTAATCTAGCATATGCTTTAAGGCGGTAGCTAAAAATCATTCAGCAATTCAATGTGACTTAAGTGAGAAATAGATACACATAAAATGCAATCGAATTGACAAACTAACATATGAAAAAGTCAAAACTTTAAATACTTGATATTGGCTAATCTGTTCAAAAAACATTTCTTCTATTCTCTAACATTTCGGATCTTGAGTTATCTACCGTACTTGCAGGAAAGTCACTGAAATTCAACGGGGTAAAAAATCTATCTGAAAATACAAATTTAAAAAAACTTTTTGGGGACCTTAATGACTTATCTTCCACTTTAATTAACAGTGAATATGTAGATGTATATAATAAATAGACCCAAAATTCTATAAGTTATCTCCATATAAACATATCTTTATTACCTTACCATATTGACGACTTTAAAATACTATTAACATCTTTTGATAATTTGCCTGATATCATTGGGATTACTGAATCTAACTTGTAAGATAACGATCTCTCTATAACTAATGTTGAATTAGAAGAATATGTATCTGTTTACACGCCAACTAAAGCTAAAAAAGGTGGTGTTTTAATGTATATTAAGTCTAACTTAAATTTTAAAATTAGATCTGAATTAGTCCTGCTTAAAAGTAAAGAACTCGAATCTATATTTATTGAAATTTTTTTTTAAAAAAAGCAGTCTAATAGTGGGTTGTTTATATCGCCATTCATCAATGTGTCCAACTGAATTCGTTGATTACTACTAAATCCACTTCTTGAAAAAATTAGCTTAGACAAAAAAAAAAGTTTATGCTAATAGGAGATTTTAACTTTGACTTGCTCAAATACAATACCTCCAATGAGGTATCTTATTTTTAGAATCAATGGTCTCAAATTCTCTTTTTCTATTTATTATACAGCCTACACGCATAACCACTCATTCTAAGACAACAATTGATAATATTTTTTTAAACTTTTATTCTTCTGAAATAATTTCAGGCAACCTTACCGCTTCAATATCTGATCATCTTGTTCAGTTTATGTTAATTCCACATACAAAAATCCAAACCCGTTGTTAGGCGATGCTTTAAAAATTTTAAAAAAGCTGAATTTATCCAAGAAATTTCAAATGTTGAATGAGATGACCATATAAAAGACGACAGTGATGTTAACGATTCTATTAAAAAATTAATTTAAATATTTGATCATATCTCAAACAAACATGCCCCTTATAAAAAGTTAACAAAAAATCAAGTAGTTAAGCATAATCAACCTTGGGTAACAAAAGGCATTCTCATGTCAGTAACAATTAAAAATAAACTTCATAAAAAATATTTAAAATCGAAAAACTGTAGAATAAAAAATATATATTAAAAAAAAATTAAACACTATCGTAATAGTATAAGCAATCTTCTAAAGTTTAGCAAAATGAAATATTACACAAACTTTTTTAGCCACAACATCAATAGCATAAAAAACACCTGGAAAGGTTGAAAAGGGTTGATAAATGTTAGACGAAATAATAGTAATTCCCTAACAAGCATACTCATTAACAACAAATGCGAAATCAATCCTAAAACTGTTAAACCATTTTAATAACTTCTTTACCATGATTGCTTCAAAATTATTCTACGAAATTCCAAATTCTAAATTTAACTATCATGAGTACCTGACCAATCCTACTAGCAACTCTTTTTATATGCAACCAATAACGAAAGAGGAAACTCTTGATTATATAAATTCCACTATTATAGAAGGGAGGAGTGTTGGACCAAACAGTCTTCCAACAAAACTTTTTAAAATGGTGTCAGGAACTCTATGTAAACCAGTTAGTATCATTTTAAACATTTCATTTCGCAAAGGAAAATTCCCTGATGCCTTTAAGCTAGCTCAAATTATTCCGATTCCCAAAAAAGGATCTACAATTGACTTCACTAACTATCGTCCAGTATCTCTTCTTTCTAATGTAAGTAAAATATTTGAAAACGTTATGCATAATAAGCTATACAACTTTCTAAACCAAAATCAATGCTTATATAAACATCAGTTTGGTTTTCGTAAAAAGTATTCTATAGCTCACGCTCTTATTGAAATTACAGAAATTATAAGAGTTGCTCTTGATAATGGGAACTTTGCTTGTGGGGTTTTAAAAAGCTTTTGACACCGTAGACCATGAAATTCTCCTATCAAAGCTTAACTACTATGGTGTATGTGGCATATCCTTGCAGTGATTCAAATCATACCTTTCTGATCGTCAACAGTTTATAACTATAAATGGAACCAGCTCAGATATTAAAAAGTTTCAATTGGTATACCTCAAGGTTCCATATTAGGTCCTCTTCTCTTTATTATCTATATTAATGATCTCAATCTTTCTATCAAACATTCAAAAACGTATCATTTTGCTGATGATACTAATCTACAATTAATAACAAACTCTCTCAAAAAACATAATAAATATAATAATCAGGATATGGCCAGTCTTGTTCAATGGTTTAGAGCAAATAAAATCTCATTGAATACTAAAAAATCAAAAATAATTATATTTAAAACGCAAAATACTAACTTTTCTAAAAAAACTAAGAAAAATATTCCAAAATACTACAATTTTCGATTAAGTGGTCAAAAAATGTACTTGTCTAGTAACATAACTTATCTTGGTGTTGTGTTAGATTTAAAACTTTCATTCAAAACCCACATATCTGACCTTACTCTGAAGTTAAGCTCTTCCAACGGCATGTTAGCAAAAGTTTGAAATTACTTTAACTTTTAAACATTGCTCTCTATATATCGCTCAATTTTGGTTCACATTTACGATACGCATGTCAAGTTTGGGGACAATCTTAAACCATATGTCTCTCTAGAGTTGTTTCACTTCAAAAAAGAGCGGTACGGATTACTCATATTTGTCCGAGAAATTTTCCTACTGTAATCCTATATCTTACATCCAAAATTCTTCCTTTCTATGACTTAATTCAGTTCTTAAGTTATTCATTTGTCTGGGATCAACAACATGGTGTCCTTCCTACTATATTTCAAAACTACTTTAATAATAGAACAACATGTGGGCATAACCTAAGATCAGTCACTTATAACAACTTAACTCTCCCACTAAAACAGACAAGTAAACATGAAATTAATTCCATTACATACCAGTGTATCCTTTCTTGGAACTTCCTTCCGAACACCCTAAAATCAGGTCTCATCCTTAGGTTAAAAAATCTGTTCTTAAAGTCACTCCATCATTTCTACCTAAAAGGTTACGCTTAACTTTTTACCTTTTTACCATTTGATTTATTATTTTATTTTTATTATAGTTTATTATTTTATTATAATTTTATTTCTAGTATTTTATTTTAAATAATTATTTTTATTATAATTTACCTATTTTATTATAATTCTTGTTTAAGTATATGTGCATATATAAATGTACATTATATTAATTATGTTATATATATTAAAAAAGTCTGATTTTTTGATATAATTAAATAAATTTTTATGCAATTTTACTTTTATTAGTTAATATTATGTTAACTTATTTAACTTAATGTCCTTTTTTAACCTACTATTTTTATGTGGTTTTACTTATTATATATTATTATTATTATTATTGTTGTTATTATTATTTTTTATCTTATTTAGGTGAAATAAGATAAAAAATAATAATAGTATATTCACTAATAAAGAATAAGGAAGTTTCGCTTTATTAGTGAATCCAAACAAACACTTCCTCCATTTGCGATGTCATTGCAAAGATTATAAAGATGATAATTATTCAAAAATAATTAAATAGGTAATAAATATATAAACAACAAAATATTAATTAAAATGACTTGAAAAAAAATTTTTTTTAAAGAAAAAATTAAAAAAATATCTTTAAATATAGTTTCAGAAATATTTTTTACTTTTCTTCAAGTCATTAATACTCACTAGTACACTGATGTATTCCATAATTAAATGAATAACCAGTGGCACACGTGCACTTATAACCACCAGCATAGTTTTCACATTTTGCATTTGGACCTAAACACCACGTTAAGCACTCATTGACATCTAAAAAAAACAATGACAAAATGTATCAAGTTTCAACTTATCAATGACAAGAATGATAAAAAAAAAAAGAAGTTATCATTAGAAATAAGCACAATATGTTTGTCCTAAAGAAAAATCTACCCTAGTAGCAAGCAACATTGGTGCAATATTGCACCATTATTGCCCCAATATTTCTTGTTACTAGGAGATATACTTTTGTTAATATTTCTTGTTACTAGGAGATATAGGAGTGTATAGAAATTTCTTTTTAAATTTCTTTTTATTTCTATTCACTTTTTTAAATCTTGATACTGTTGATTTAACATTTCTAACTTAAAAATTAAAAATTTATATAAATAAATAGAAATAAATTATTTTCATATTAAGATACACAAAGTGCTGAATGATTTTGCCTCCTTCCAATACAAATTTTCTTTTCAATACTTTTAAGCATTGACATGCTTAAAAGTATTGAAAAGAAAATTTGTTTTGTTGGAGGGAGGTAAAATCGTGTTGCAGCTAAAGGCTTGGTGTTTAACAACTTGGTGTTTAACAATTAAAAATTTTTACAACACTTGGTGTTTAACAAACAATTAAATCTTTGCGAAATTGCTCTTTTTATTTGAAAAATTTCCTATTTAAAAAAAATAAATTTGATAACAACTGGGGTTTAGTAATATGCAGGGAGCCAAAATTCTAAGCATATTTAGAAGTTAGAAGGGAAGAAACTTATTTGAAAGAGACAAATTAGGTAAAGAAGATTTTAAAATGATTAATGCAAGAAATCAATTTTTTTAAAGATTCAAGCTAATTAGTTTATTGTACAAACATTAATTTTTTTTTGAAGTAATAGAAAGAAAATTATCAAAGAACTCCAATGTGGTGCATATTTCACCAAATATTCAACATCTTGCATATAAATAAATGATCAATTCTAAACTATTCAAATGCTTGGTATCTTATGTAATTAATTTTTCATTTGTAATAGAGCCTGTTCATTTTGTCAATTAATTTGAATATTTTAAATTAAATGATGGTACAAAATGCAAAGTGCTATTTCCAATGGATATACACTTGTAATTAACCCGTAAAAAATGCTATTAACAGTGCACCAATCATATCACATTTTTTTTGGCATGTGACATGTGCATGTTTAAACTGACATTAAGTAAATATAAAAAGAGTATTTAAATTTATTTAGCGTATTTAAACTGAAATTAAATAAATTTAAAAAAACTTAAAAAAGATTTTTCTTAAAATTGATAGCTTGTACGAACCAAAACCCTCAGTCAATGTATGTACACTCCCTGCATGTTCTACCTAAACATTTAATAAAAGTATAAAACGATAAAAAAGCAAAGTAAACAACTTAATATTTATGTAAAGAAAGAAATCCTGTGTTTAAAATATCAGTGTTAGTTATCGCAATATGATCGGCGCATTAGTAATTGCAATATTCGATGGCTTATTGCCATTGCATCTGTACTGGTAATAAATTTTATGGTACAAAATTATAACCACATTTTAATTTTATTCAATAAAATGATGTGTTTTATCTCAATTTTAATTTATTATTAATACTTTGTTTTATTGTCACAATTCTGAATGACCTCAAACAAACAATTTGGCATACTTTCCGATTGTTTTCTGAGATTAGCAAGAGATAAATTCTTTAAAGCATGTAAAATTGCCTTTTTTAAGCACATCATGCTACAATGCCCCATACATTTTCAAAAGAATTTACATCAGGTGAGATTAGCCATTCCAATTATTGAATTTTCTTACTGGTGAACCATAGGATATTTGACTTTGCTCTGTAAATTGGAGCATTATCTTGCTGGAAAATAAAAATGGAGTAACCAAACTTTCATGAAATATCATTCAAATGGTCGTCCTACAAATTTCTATAACCTTCAGCATTTAATTTAGTTATAATAAAGCCAATTGCATTTTTTTCAAAAAAACTGATCGCATTTCAAATCATTATTTCTCTGCTTTCCATATCCTTTTTTTTAATATTTTCTTTTTGCATATGTCATGTACTAATTGAAGCCATCTGGACCATCAAGATCAATTTTTTGTCCTGAAAAAACAAATGGGTCCCAAAGCCACAAGATTTGGAAAAATAAATTGCCATTTTTTCTACCAAATCATGTGGTTTTTGGTCTATTGAAGACGGATGTGTTTGTGCATTTTAGTTAGTGCTGGAGATGTGTGTTTTTTCCATATCTGAGAAGCCTGACTTATTAGTTGCACAATTAATTGTCCATCTTAAGCACTTCAATCACCAATCAGTGCCAATTGGCATTAATTTTGAATTGAAAAATGCAGAAATGTTGTTGTTAGCAAGCTTTAGGCATCGTGTTTTACCACTTGGATGATTCTTGCAAGAACTTGTTGGATTATTTACAAAATTATTGATGAAATAAGGTAAGCACTTCATTTCGCAAGATATTGTCCTGTCTAATAAAGGCTATAATTTGAAGCTTCAATCTTGCCTTTTTCTTAGTCAGAGAGTGTAGTCCAATATGGGATCCGTTAACTTGTATTTGATAACAAACTTAATTTTTGGAATTTACTGCTATTTTTCAATGGTTTTTGATGCAACCTATATGGTGAGTTTGTATTATGCATTATTGTTTTAAACAAGATTATATTTTGAACTAATTAAAGTATAAATAAAATTAATTAATGCTTTTAACCTTAATTATCATTTTGTTTCAAATAAAAAACAAAAAACCTTTTTAACTTAAATTTTTATATTAATGTATAAATTATCATATTTATGTATAAATTATCATATTTATGCGCTTGTAAAGTTAAAATATTTTAGGAAATAGTAGTGGTGCTCATTTTCACTAATCAAATTTTCAACATGTGTCCAATGATAAATGACAATATTAAGTTGATTGTTGATTGCCCAATGACACGAGTCATAGGGCAATATCTAAAATATCCATTATCTAAAACTGTTTTAGAAAGTTTTAGAAAAGAGTCAAAGCTATTAACAAATTGCTGACTTCATGCAAAAAAATCAGCAATTTTATAAGACCCTTGTAATCTGCTTTAACTCTAAAAAAAACATTGTTTAGTCAAAACTAAACTTAATCAAAACTAAGTTTAGTTTTGACTAAACAAGTTTAGTTTTGAATAATTTGTGTTTTGAATAAACATGCATAACTTAACGCTTGTTATGTATGTTTATATAATTTTGTCATTTAGTTACATATAATTTTGTTTTAAGCATACTTCGTTACAAATAAATCTGTGTTACAAAATGAAAATATTAAACATCACCATAAAATTGAAATGATATTCTGACAAGCAATAATTAAAAAGCAATAGATTGAAAAAAATTTTTTATTTACATTGTAATATTTCTTTAATCTAATAGTTTATAATAGTTTTTTTTTAAAACTAATAAGCTACTTTACTAATCGTAAGAAGGCTGCAAGCACTATTTAAGAAGCGTGTTAACAGAAAACAAAGAATATTTTTTAAGAGCAATCAAACGGTTACTAAAGGACTTGAAAAATTGTAATTTGAGTTGGGAAAATATGGAAACAGAACAATTCAAAGTATTGATGTGTGTAGAAAAAAATATTTATAAAGGTAGAGAATGAAATTGAGAGAAAAAAAATAACAAGTACAATAATGAAAAGCAACATTAGCAGATGCTAATGAATGGTATATATGGTTTTCGTGAGCGGTTAGTAGTAAATGATAATCTGAGAAAATGTTAAGCATAGGACTGTTGCCACTCAACAATACATGCCATAGAATGTTGCCATTCATCAATACATGCTATAGAATGTTGCCATTTATCAATACAAGAATATCACTTGTTCTAAGCAATCAAATAGTGATGACATCTAGTAAGACCGAGGTGTACAGTTGTGTTATTAGTAAATAAACACTTTGATGTGAAAGATAAGATGTGTAAACCAGCGCAACTGCTGGCAGTGATTAGACTCCAACTCATAAATATGTAATGTTTTATACTATTTATTTAACAATATGATAAAATAATAACGTTTTAATAAATATTTTGAAAATAAATAACAATCAAAATATTAAAAACTTCATCATAAACTTTTAAAATAATAAACATTTAAACTAATCACTATAGAAATATCTAAAATATATAAATATATAAATGTTTACATATACTAGTATATTTTAAATTCATTTCCAATATAAATTTTGTTCAGTTTAAAATTTGGCCAAAATATTATAAACAAATATTAAAAAAAGAGTTTAAAAACTTAGCTGATAAATATTAAATTTTAATATGTCATTAAGAAAAAAATTATAGTCTGTAAAGTAATTAATCAGTAGTTATGTCAAATAGTACATACAATGAAAATGATACTCCTATGCCCCCCTCCTTTGGTACGGCCCTGAGTGCAATTAGAATAATATACAATTATTACACTAAGAGCTGGAAAGCATCAAATTTATTTTATTACAAAATGCTTAAATTTGGACCAATTTGAGGTCTCATCCATGGAACCATGTAACCATGGTTAAACTCAACACTAAAGTTTTAAATAATTATAGTTTAAAAAATTAAACCCAAACACAAAAAAAAATTATATCCAAACCTTCACATCTATGTGTTTCTATTGATATTGCATAGCCTTTAGGACAAACACATTTAGGTTGTAAAGGAAAGTGAACATTAACACACAAGCCATCAGTTGGATTGCATATATACTTGTTTATTATTCCTTGGCATTCATTTACAACTAAATAAAAATAACTAATAAAAAAAATAACAAACAAGCAGTTTATGATATATTTTCTTGATTGAAACTTAAATTTATTTTAGATTTATAACATCTTTTTACAAATAATAGAAAACAAACTACAAATTAAGTGAATTAACTATATATAAGTAAATAAGTGAATAAATTAGGTGAACTATAGAAAAAAAATTTTTTTAAGCTAAAGTAATAGAATTGTGTTATAGGTGAACACAATTGTGTTATAGGTGAACACAATTGTGTTATAGGTGAACACAATGTTTTTATAAAAAGTTTTTTGTTTTTGAAATATCTACTTTAAAAATAAACATTCTCCATTTTATTAAACTTAAGTTTCAACTTATGCCTGCTTTATAATATATTTATTATAAAGCAATATATTGTAATAATATTTTTTATCACACTTAATTAAATTTATGAATATTTATTATAGTTAAGTATAAAAATTTATAAATTATTAATAAATAGTATTTTGCATTTATACATATGTGTGTTTAATTTTGTAACATTCTGTAATTTTGAATATTAAAAAATTTAGGCAACCTTCACACATCATTGATGATGAATTGAATATTGTTCCAAACAAGCACTGACATTCATAAGAACCAATTTTGTTCACACAGTTCAAATCTCCACATACACTTTGAGAACATTCATTAAAATCTAAATAAGGTAAAAAAAAATTGTTAATATATATAAAGCCTAATTTTGAGAATTTATCAATAAGTTAGTTTAGAATTTATTGTACCAACACAGCTGACATTGTTGTTCCCTTGCATACCTTGTTGACATTGTTGTTGCCTTGCATACCTCGCATACCTTGCATACCTCGCATACCTTGCTATTATTTAATCTTTCAAAAGTTATAAGACAATTAAAAATTTTTTAATAAAATTAATTTTTTTTTCCATTCTAGTTCACTCTCAACAAGGCTGCAAGCAACTACTATTTTGTTGGGAGTTAAAACAAAAAATAGAGTTAAAGATCAAGAAAATGGTTTATACAAGACTTAAAAAGTTATCGGTTGTAGGGTTGAGCTTTTAACCAAAATTTACTGGTAAGTCGGTAAAATTGTTTTACCAATTTACCTGTAAAATTATATTAGTAAATTTCAGTAAATAACAACTTTTTCTATACTAACATCGGAAAAGTTGAAAACAAAACCTGTAACAAAATTCAAAAAAATTTTAAATTTTTTCTCAAATTGAAGAAGTGATTTTGAAATTTACAGCATTGAGCATCAAACATATTACACCTATAGACAGTTCTAAAACCTATTTGACATTTCAAGAAGTTCTGTACAAATAGCCTTTCCAAAAAAATTAATAATAACACACTGCAAGTAACAAGCAACAAATATGATGTCAGCAGTGATGAATTTGAATCTGACATCAGAATCAATTTTCTTGATAATTCCATGGATAAAAATATTTCCATTCCAAAATTAAAACTACACTTGCAATCTCTCATCACAAAAGTCTGAAAAATTGTCAAGTTGTTTCAAAAATCCCCAGTCAAAAATGACGTTCTCGAAGTAAAAATCAAGAAACAGCAAAGAAAAGAGGTTCGCTTGTTCATGTCTGCAGAACAAGATAGAACACTTTACTTAAAATGGCTCAACATTTTCTTAAAGTTAGAAGTTCTATCAGAAACATAATGAAAGACATTTCTCCATATTAGATTTGCATTTATGATGAAAACAGAAACCCTTTGCCAACCGGATGCAACTCTTTTTACAGCTGAGGTAATTTCCATGTTTTTGTGAACAAACTGAAACAACAACATTTAACTCTTTGCATTGCAATTAAGAGTGCAAATAAGAGTGCAATTTTGAAATGTTTTAAAGACAGAAAGCAGAGTTATCTCGTAAGCTTGTATAGATACCTTTCCATGTCAGAATGTCTACCCAATATTGAAGAACATGAAGTTTTCAAAATGCGTTCAAAAAACAGCCAAAAATTTGCTGTCTAAACTTTTTCCAACAAATCCAGATGAATTATAATTTATCCAAGAAAATGCGACAAAAATCTACTTTCATTTAAAAATGAACTCAAGAAAGCAATTCAGCATCAAAAAATAGTGGGTCAAAAACAGTGCCGTAATTCAAGCGATGAACTTAAATATATTTCAAAAGATATGTTGATTTATGAAGCTACTCGAAAGAGAACTGCAAATCTTAACTTTTTTTCAATGCAGAAATTTGCTCAGACTAAATACTTATTGGAGACTTTTTCTCCAACAAGTATTTTGTCTGAGTGAGTTTTGCTGTCGGATTATTGTTGATTGTTTATGACAAATTTGATCTAGAATAAATGACTAATTGATTCTCTTTGTTTCCTCAAAACTCATTTTTTACAATACAACAATTATCAATAAAGATATTAGATACAAATTTTATAAAAACAGTTTGAAACAAAAAAAATTCAATTCAAGGTTTTTTATTTTTATATTTATTTTTTCACTGTTGTTTCCTGGTAAATTAAGCTTTTTTACCAATTTACCCATAAATTTAAAAGTCAGTAAAAGTTCAACTCTAGTCAGTTGTATAAGCCAGAAAAACATGATGATGGGAGAAAGTTTCAAAGGGTTAAAGTGTGGGGTAAAAAGTAGACTAAAACAGAAAAAAAAAATTTTCAGAGCGTGCAGGGACAGATACAAAAAAAGAACGTGACTGCCGAATGATGGGTCAAGTGAGAATGAGTTTTGATTGATGGAACTAGATATAACAGCTCCTTTGAGCAGCAACCATGAACTTTCATTGAATCTTTCTCTTTTTAAAAAAGAGAAAGATTCAACTTTACAACAATGGAAGAGAGACTTAAGCTTGGCAAATAAAACAGGTCCAACTACATTTACAATGCGTTTTTGGACCTTGTTTAAAACAAAAAGAATATCATTAGAAGAGCCAGTCCAAATATGACAACATTATTCCATACAGTGATGATTTATAGAGGTAGAGAATGGAATTATGAGTAAAAAATTGGCCAGCACAATAAAGAAAAGAACCTTAGCAGATACTAACTTTGCAGTCAATTGTATATATGGCTTCCATGAGAGGTCATTAGACAACAATAATATAAGAAAATATTAAGTGTACAGATTGTTGTTTATTAATATAAAAATATCAACAGTTTTGCAATAGTTGTTTGCAGTAAACAACTAAAACTTTATTGGAGTAAAAATTAACAAGCCACTGCAATCTCTAGTCTGTTACAGAAGTGGTATCAAATTCACAAACCACTGCAATCTCTAGTCTGTTACAGAAGTGATATCAAATTCACAAGCCACTGCAATCTCTAGTCTGTTACAGAAGTGATATCAAATTGACAGCCTATTCTAAGCAATCGAAAAGAAAAGACTTTTTGTCAAGACAAAAGTTTAAAGTTGAGTTGACAGCAAATAGAGCCACTTTAGATGTAAGGTTGTCAAGAAGGTCATTACTGTAGATAAGAAACAAAACAAGATAAAAATAGAACCATGAACCATGAGGTACCCCAGAAGTTATTGGAAACAAAGAAGAGTGTTAACCTTTGAGGATGACTTAAATAAAGTGGTTAGAAAAAAAAACAATAATCTCAAATAATTTCTCAGATACACCTTATAAAGCAAACTTGGATTAAGAAGTCAAGCATGCTAATTTTTATTAAAAGCTTTACATGTGGCAAGAGCAATAACTGCGCTGCCTTCATTTCACAACACTTCCTCCATTAATGACACCATAACAACCTCCATCTTTGACATCATGACTTCCTCGATCTATGACATCATAACTTCCCCCATTTATTACATCATGATTTCCTCCATCTATGACATCATGACTTCCTCCATCTATAACATTGAGACTTTCTCCATTTATGACATCATGATTTCCTCCATCTACGACATCATGACTTCCTCCATCTATGATATCATGACTTCCTCCATCTATGACATCATGACTTCCTCCATCTATCAAAAATCTATAATTAGAGTCATGAAGCTTTCATCATTTTATTCATAAATAAGTTGTTATATATTGTTTAGTATTAATATACTTATTTAAATGATGTTATTTAATCATTTTTTATTAATACTATATCAATTTATTACAAATTACATTTTTATCATGATAATTCTTATAAATTCATATTTAATTGCATAACTTTTGTGCATAAATAATAATAATATTACTGTTAATATTGTACAGCTATGCACAAAAAATATTCGAAAATTTCAATCAAAGTTTATAGGTTTTTAACTAAAAAAAAATCAGGAAAAAAAATTTAGTGAATTTTTTTTTTTTTTTTTAGGACATTCAATAACCAATACAATTAAATTATTAAGATAAAAAAAATTAAAATAATCGCTCAGACTCAGTTATAAAAATGTCTTTAATTAAAGGGCTTGT